GTATGTTTGTAGCCAGATGCAGTGGTATGAAATTCTTCTTTATTGTCAATCCGTTCAAATTATGCTGAACTTAAAATCAGTAAATCCTTTCATTTTATTCAAAGATGTATGCCAACCACAAGAAAAGGAAAATAATCTTTCTTCTCCACTTAAGAGGAGTTTCAGGTTGGAGTAAGCACTCCTTGTGGACCTCCAGAACAGGGTGGTTGTAGAAGGGGGAGATGGAAGTGGACTACAAAGCTACAGCATGGGGGATTAGCTCTCTGAGAGACCTTGTAGGTTAGCCTGTACAAGCAGAAATGGTTTGAGCAAATGATCCTATCACAAAATGAGTCATCCCTGCCTGGAGAGGTATAGGTTGTGTATTGCAGGCTCCTCAAGCAACAAATTATCCTTCAGACAATAGACAATGTAACAATTCTCTACTTCACAATATATAGGCTCCTATCAAGCACTGGCCCAAGTTTTCCTTCCTTTTCCTGTGGAGAAAGAAGATGACCATTTGTGGGTTTCAAGAACGTGAACTTTGCAATGTATTGCTTTGTATTTAATATGGCCTATCGCTATCGGATGCTTATCCCCATGTTATTCACCACCTCTTCCATAGTATTAACTGTTTAGGACTTAAGCCTTCATTTGATCACAACTCCACATGCCTTTCACAGACTAGTAAAAACTTACGTTAGCAATTGCAGCTGAAGACTCCTTCTTTCCACATCTGTATTTATTTATACACCTGAATTTATACAGTCTAATCAGAGTACCGTTCAAACTTTCCTACAAATCTATAGATAAGAAAGGGAAAGGGCTCTGAGTCTTTGTGAACCCTTGAAGAACTAATCTGGTGCTGATGCCTTGGCTGGACTCAATACTTGAGATTTTTTTTCTTTCTGCTGAACTACAAGCCCCATTGCTCAGAGGCTCTGTGATCCATAACATTTATTAGTGCCTTTGCCCTGTTCTGGTTTCTTGACATCTACTTATGCAGAGCTATATAGAGGTGATGCTTATACTTTTCCCAAGCTAGCTCTTAGCTGGTTGTTGTTGGGCAGAGAACATCCTTCTGGAGTTCTTCTTTTGAGAAACATTTCGAACACTTGCACCAAGCTGTGCAAATACGGTTGCAAGTGGTCACAGAACCTAGCTGGAGACTACTGCTTAAGTACACTTGGAAACTGAAGTAATCTAGAAAATCGTAATAGTTGGGGCTGTACATTAAGAAAAGCATCTGAAGATTTAGTAACTGTAGGGGTTGTGTGGCTGGTTGGGGGTTGGGGTGGGGCAGGTCTTAAATGCACACACACGCGAAATGCCATAACATTAAACTATGCTTTACTTGAAGTCCTATAATCAATTGCTTCTTGGCAGTTCAGTGCAAGAGGAAACTGAGTGATAGGGCTGTGTGACTCTGAGCTAGATCCCATTATTTGAGGACAGGTGATTTTAACTAGATCTGTGTCAAAGAACAGGAGATGAGTGCATTACTATAGCTCATAGGGGAGAGAGCACAAAGATGAACTAGGTTTATGGAACTTCCTTTGGCAGAAACTTGATCAAATTTATGCTGGTTTTCATCACTGAGATGAACTGACAGCTCCCTCCCCTCCCCTCAATCTTAACAGCCCTGGTTTAGTAAGAATGCTGCAAAAACAGCAAAATGGCCTTGGACTGTCCAGCTTTTTGCTACTGTTTAAAAAAAATACTTGCTATCTCAGGGAAGTAACTAATATGGCTTTCTGTTTTCTTTTAATTACAGGACCCCCAGGTTGCAGACATCTTGGCAACAGCTGGGAATGTGGTGACCATTACTGTAATGCCTTCCCACATCTATGAATACATTATTAAGAGGTAAGCAAGAAAAACTAACACACTTTTAAAATCTCCCCTGAAATTTGTGAGTAACTGAGGCATAAATGTATTTTTATACATTAAATTTCGCTTGATACCAAACGGCTCTGTCACACTGGGCATACTGCAACAAAACTCTTTGGTAGATATTTACTAAGAATTCAGTAACCCTAATCTACAGAAGAATTCCAGATCCCTTTTTCTTAAGAAGGCTGGAGAATTTCTTGAAAGCAAAACCATTTAAAAGCTTCTGATAGAAAAGACTATAACTTCACAGGGAAAGTGGGAACTATACAACACTCAGTTTGGAGTGGTTTTAAAATAACCTGAGACCTGTATTTCACTTCAGTCAGTCATGCTGTGACTCGCATAGTGTTGAGAGAGCTTTACACATATCTAACAAAAAAGGATCATCATTGCCAGTGAAAAACTTTGTGGGGGAGGGGGGTTCTGGTTTGTGGGTTTTTTGTTGTTTTTTGTTTACGTTCCTGTCATTTAAATGTGCTTAAATGCATTGTACAGGTTGAAAGGAATTCACTAATAAGGCCATTTTTAGAATTTGAAATTTCTTCAGTAGCAAAAACAAAACAAGACCCAAAAAAAATTCTGTTAATTTTTCAGGCTTAATGCATAGTTCACAGTTAATATAATGGGTTTCCTAGCAAGAATTATATTCCATACATGTCGCATTTAACACTTTGAGAGTGAAGTAGTGGGTTCTTTGTGAGTGCTCATTTGAAAACCTAGGTTTAATTCTGAAGAATACAGTGTTGCCATTTCATGACCATCTAGATACAAATTATTCTCTAGGCCAGACTCCAAGCTTTTTTTCTTTTTTCCTTGTGGTATTCTTGCCACCTCTTTCCTGTAAGTAACCACTCTGCCTGTTCTAGCTACATATTGGCAGATTTGAAAGTTGAGTATTTAAAAACATTCCTTTAGTGGTTGTGTAGCAGTTTTTTCCCTATAGTCAACATGCCAGGTACATGGGGCAGAATACGTCTTCTTGAAGAAACATTCCTATTTTCATGTATAAATATTACTTTCTGTAGCAATATACGTGTTGGAACAAAGGGTAAATTGTATGGTCACTTGGTAGTGACACAGCAGCTTGTCTCTGCAAAGCTTTGTTTTTAAACATTTTAAATGCTAAGGCAAAGTAACTAGAAAATACTTTACACTAAAACTATTTTTTTAAAGTCTAGAAGTTCTAAAGTTACTATTTTTTTTTTCTTTTAGGATGGCATCCAACATTATGAAAAGCCTGATGGATCACTCGATCCCTGAAGTTTAAAAAGAGCCATTGTGTATTAATTTGTGTAATAGGCACTCATCTAAACTTGGGCTATTATACTCAGCGAATTCTGTATTCTGCACATGAGCCTTTCTTGAGGCCAAAATAGATATGCTGCATTGAGCATTTGCATAATATTCCCAGGCATAGAATATAACAGTTCAACATGTTATCTTGGTTCGTGCAAAAGAAGTAAGCCTTTTGTAGCCTTATGCTGGTT